TGAAGCCCCACCGTCTCTTGCCAGATCTTCTTATAATTGGTCTTCCTGCTTCTGTTCTTGTTCCCCTGTAGTTGCTGACCCCCAACAACTGAAGGGGTCTTTTAAAAACTGAAGTCAAATTTTATCATTCTCCTGCTTGAAACTTTCCAAAGATGGTTGCATTAATGCCCACCCTCTAATGAGGCTGGCGTCTCGGCTCTCTGACCCCACCGGCCATGCTGCCCTCCCTCCCTCTGCTGGCCCTCTGGCCTCTCCTCTTGGACTTGCCCTCTGCAGGCGGTGGGACTTGCCAGCGTCCCTGAGTGAAACTGCCCCCACCCCATCACCCGTCAGCTTCAGTGTCCCCTCTCCAACCACCAGTCCTAGACAGCCTCCCCTCTCGCTCTACTTAGTTACTTCTATCTAACTGTCATGTTGTTGTCAAGGCACTCAACCACCATCAGAAATCATCTGGCTTGTTTGTTTGTATATGCTTGTATTCCATCTTTCTGTTTTCTAGATTGTGGGTTCCTTGAGGCGGGAGGAACTCCATCTTGCTCCCATCTGTGCCCCCAGATAATGAGTCCTGCACGCGGTGGCTACTTAGTACATATTTGTGGGATGAATGAAGGTCTTGACAGATTCTCACTTTTTTTTTCCCCCCCAAGGACCTCTGCTTCATTTTTTTTTTAATTTTAAAATTTTATTTTTTTTATACAAGTTCTTATTAGTCACCAATTTTATACACATCAGTGTATACATGTCAGTCCCAATCACCCAGTTCAGCACACACACCCCCACCCCCATGCGGTTTTCCCCCCTTGGTGTCCTTACGTTTGTTCTCTACATCTGTGTCTCAACTTCTGCCCTGCAAACAGGTTCATCTGTACCATTTTTCTAGGTTCCACATACATGCGTTAATATACGATATTTGTTTTTCTCTTTCTGACTTACTTCACTCTGTATGGCAGTCTCTAGATCCATCCACGTCTCAACAAATGACTCAATTTCGTTCCTTTTTATGGCTGAGTAATATTCCGCTGTATATATGTATCACATCTTCTTTATCCATTCATCTGTCAATGGACACTTAGGTTGCTTCCATGTGCTGGCTATTGTAAATAGAGCTGCAATGAATATTGGGGTGCATGTGTCTTTTTGAATTATGGCTTTCTGTGGGTTTATGCCCAGGAGTGGGATTGCTGGATCATATGGTAATTCTATTTTTAGTTTTGTGAGGAACCTCCATACTGTTCTCCATAGTGGCTGTATCAATTTACATTCCCACCAACAGTGCAAGAGGGTTCCCTTTTCTCCACACCCTCTCCAGCATTTGTTGTTTGTAGATTTTCTGATGATGCCCATGCTAACTGGTGTGAGGTGATACCTCATTGTAGTTTTGATTTGCATTTCTCTAATAATTAGTGATGTTGAGTATCTTTTCATGTGCTTCTTGGCCATCTGTATGTCTTCTTTGGAGAAATGTCTGTTTAGGTCTTCTGCCCATTTTTGGATTGCGTTGTTTGTTTCTTTAATATTGAGCTGCATGAGCTGTTTATATATTTTGGAGATTAATCCTTTGTCCGTTGACTCATTTGCAAATATTTTCTCCCATTCTGAGGGTTGTCTTTTCGTCTTGTTTATTGTTTCTCACGTATTTTTAATGACAGTGTTATAGCCCATTGCACGGAATTGCTGTGATATTTAACTGTCTACTTTTGTGGCTTTTTATTTATTTTTTTAATTAATTAATTAATTTATTTGGCTGCACTGGGTCTTCGTTGCTGAGCACAGGCTTTCTCTAGTTGCGGCGAGCGGGGGCTACTCTTCCTTGCGGCGCGCGGGCTTCTCACTGCGGTGGCTTCCCTTGTTGCAGAGCATGGGCTCTAGGCACGTGGGTTTCAGTAGCTGTGACTCACGGGCTCTAGAGCACAGGCTCAGTAGTTGTGGTGCATGGGCTCAGTTGCTCCGTGGCATGTGGGATCTTCCTGGCCCAGGGCTTGAACCCATGTCCCCTGCATTGGCAGGCAGATTCTTAACCACTGCACCACCAGGGAAGCCCCTACATTTTTAAATTAAAAAAATGTTTTGATGACTCCGTTTAGCTAGTTTTGGGGGAATTTTATGGATTTTTTATTTTATTTTTATTTTCTTAGGATTGATTCCTAGGTGAGAATTTGTTTACTGAATGGGTGTATGTACAAAATATTAAGGTGTTTAGACCCTCCTGGTTTGTTTCCCCATGTAGTTGAGGGATCTGGCACACTCTCAATAATACTGGAAGGTGGGCTGGGAGGGGTAGGGGGTGGGAGTTTTGTCTGTCTTCATTGCTGTATCCCTAGATCTTAGAACAGATGTTCATGTTTACTAAATGAATAAATCAGTTTCCATAAAAAATTCTAGGTATCCCTTCATTTAAATTTATTTTTATTCATTTATTTGTATAAATATTCCCTGAGTTTTAAAATGTATGCTTTTGCAGAGTAGGTCTGTCCAATGTAAGAACATTCGCCCAACGTTAAACCTAAGGGGCCTGGGTGTTAGCTGGGCTCACCCTATTCCTTAGAATCCAGACGAGGTTCCTCTGAGCCCCCTCTGGAGTTGGTGGAAAGTCCAGGATTCTGCCCAGGATTTCTGAGAATCCCAAGGGCTGTGAGACAAAGAGACCATTTCTAACCAGAATTCTGTCTTCTTCTCCGTGACTTGTGATTGACTGTAGTTTGGTTTTCATCACACCGTCCCTTCTTTATTGCTCCCACATCAGTCACAAGTGCAAGACTAGGTGTGTTGCTCTGAGTTGGTCATTGGAAGAGTTACTGCTTTGTAGACCCTCCATCCTCCTCTGCAAAGGTCCTTTCACCCTTCTGTCGCCAGATCACACATCTGCTTCAGCCAGCATCAAGGACGGGCCTGGAGACGTAGCGCTTTCCTTTAACAGTATCCACCCTCTGGGGGTTGCAGCCGTTGTCCCCCTTCCGCACAGTGGTGTCTGGGAGAATTGCTGATTTGCAATATTTGTCATTGGTGAGAGGGGCAGAGAGTTGGGATGGGGGAGTCAGGGAGACAGAAAAAAATAAGTTCCTCTCCAGCTGTTCCTTTTCCTCATTTCTTCTTCTGAATGATTCCTTATTCCCCCAAGTAAAGTCTTAACCTCTTCACCTTGCTGATGAGGATTTCATTTTAACCCATGGTTCTCCATTGGTATGCTACGGGCACTAGTGGGTCATAAGCTCTTCCCAGGTGTACTAGGAACTGTCCACAGGCGTGTTGCCGAATTTTGATCCACGTGTAAAAATACTTCAACTGTGGCGTTCCTTGAGCTGAATAGGCCTTAGGAGCTGTCAAATGATGGCTGTGGGGTACAACCTGCTGTGAGAAACAGAAAAGAGCCTTAGCCTAGATAACGTGCCAAGAAAGAGTCCCTGGTGATGGGTGGTGAGCTGAGTGTGTAAGAGAAAGGGGAGGGCACTCAGCACCTGCTTCAAGGACCAAGGGAAGAGCGTGTAACCCTGGGAGCCTTGGTAAACCATGTGGTAGGGTCCTGCTTTAGGTCCTGTTTAGTAGGGTCTCTGGCTTCGCTCAATCCTTTCATGAAGGTTGCCAAACATATTAAATCCTGCGGGACTTGAATGCAGGCCTCCTTTGAAAGGGAATTATAAACACACACGTGTTGGTGTCCCTTGCTGTGTTTGCACGTGGGCAGCCTTGTGTCGGGGGTGGATGGTTGGAAGGGTGAAGGATCCTGGGAAGTAAAGGTTCTCAAACATGGGTTCCGATTGCCTATGTGTGTGCGTGATCTGGGCGGCTCATCGATAAGGTTCAGCACCCTTTTCACTCCATGTGTTATTTCACCCTGCCTTCATCTCCTTTGACAGGACATAACGTACAGATCATTTAGGGTTTCTTTCCCTCACCTGTGTCTTGACTAAACACATCGGGTAGATGAATTTCCTATTACTTCTCTCTTGCCCCTCAGCACTTGGGTCCCCAAGGGCTCCATCCCTAGCCATTTTTTCTTCTCACTCGTCTTGGATCACTTCTCATAGATCTTGAACTCTACCTACCACCTGTCAGCTCTACACTGATAACTCCCAAGTCTCTAGCCCAGACTAGATCTCTCTCCCATTTATCTGTTTAGTCATCTCTTTTTTTTCCCACCTGGTTGTTTCACAGGGCACTTTGAATTCAACCGAATCCTCTGTTTCAATTTATGTTAAGACGTAGTGGCCCAAACTGGAACTCTGAGAGTTATCCTGGACTTCTGCCTGCCCTTCCCCCTAAGCCATCTCATCTCTCCTGAATGTCTTAGCCCTTAGACTAGACTTCTCCTGGCATGGTACCATCACAGGGTCCTGTGCTATCGTCTGCCCATCACTCTCAGTAGACTGTCAGCATATCCATGTCTATATTTCACGTCCAAGCTCAATGCCCATAGGAGCTGCTTAGAAAATATTGGAATGAATAAATAAGCAGGTGGATGGGATGAATGAATGAATGTTTTCTGAGATGTTTTGGGGTGACTTCCGTTTAGGATGATGCTTTTCATTTCTTTTTACTGGAATGAGACATTATTTTTGTTTGCCAGCGCCAACATTTTGAAACCGTAATTTTGAGGACATATTTTACCATGTGAAATTCCTCTCTCAGGCCACACACACAAATATATTAACTTCAAAGGAGGAATTATTTATGGAATTTATGGTATGTTATTGCACTTGGTCTTTTACCTAGGTGGTTTCGTGTGTGCGGTGTGTTCTTGGTACAGCTGGGAAATATTTACTGTCTGTGGCAGGAATCATTGATCTGCATGACCTAGTTTGAATTAAACTTGAGCCTAATTAACTTGGATGCTCTCAATGTCTAGGGTTGTAGGATTTCAGAGCTGGAATGTTGCTTTTTGAACTTCAGCGTAAGGAAGGATCGCCTATGCGTAAAGAGTAATCATTGACTTTGCATGTTGGCTGAGAGAACGATCGATTCAAAGTCCATTTTGTAAACTACTTTTTTTCCCTCTCCAACAGGGAGAGTCCCGTATCCTCAGAGTGAAGGTTGTTTCTGGAATTGATCTCGCCAAAAAGGACATCTTCGGAGCCAGGTATGTTTGCTTTGTTATCTGGTAGGCTTCTGAAGAGAGTTTAAGCAAGCGCTTTTCAAGTTCAGGTGCATCGGAATGACCCGGCGGGGGGGTGGGGGGGGGCGGGGGCGGGGCGGTGCTTCTTAAAGCAGACATTGCTGGGCCCTGCCTCCCGAGTTTCTGATTGAGTAGGTGATGCTCACGCTGCAGCTGGTTCAGGGACCACGTTCTTGCAGGGGTGTAGACCTTGTGCAACAGCGGCAGTGAGCGGGCTTGGCCTTCCTACAGGTTGATTTCATGAGGAAATTCGATTCAGATGTTTCTGTTTTTCTGCAGTAGAAAAATAAGTTTAAGAGCATGTCTGTGTTCATTTTAATATATTCCTGTTTTTTGTTTTTTTTAAAAAAACAGCCCTAGCTGAAGGAAACAAAGTATTGTTTTGTTCCTGGGAGAACTGGATATTTTTTGGCATGTGTAATTTTGGAATTAAGAGACTTGGTGATTTCTGTGGCATTTACGGAAGCACTCACAGCCTCATCATTCTGGCTGTTTTAGTTAGCTTTTTTATTTTGCGTGTAGCACCTGGTATCCCTGTATCTTTCAGTCAGCCCTACTGGCTCTTGACAGTGTGTTGCCTTAAGTTGCTGGACTGGTAGCAGAGTGAGGATTAGAGCTACTTGGAACTAGGATTTGAACCAGATTTCGGAGAAGAAAGCCCTTTTGAACTTTTGACCTAAAGGGTATATTAGAGATGATGTAGTCCAACTTCCCTGTCGAATGGAAACAGGAAAGGTTACTATTTAAATCCAGTCACTTATGAGGCCCCCGGTCCCTGCTCAGCGCTCTCTTCCAGTTGGGTACCTGATGGGGTTGAACCAGAGGGCCGTGCTGGCCGCTAGAGTCACCACATTGGAACACTGGGTCATCCCGTGAGTCTCCGGGACCATTGCCCGTAGTGACGCTCGGGTTCAGGGCCTCAGCCTGACACTGGAGACCCTGAGTGATGAGGCCTCGTTCTGTCCAGCTAACCTCATCCTCCCAACACCGCGCAGAAGCCCTCGTCTGCCGTTGGTCGGCACACCTCTTTTATATTCTGTCCTGTTACCATGCCCATTTTGAGTTTTGTCTAGCAAAGAAATCAGTAAGCTCCTGATGTGATTTGCGTTAACGAGCAGAAATAAATCCAGGCGTATCTCACTTTGTCGCGCTTCCCAGTACTGTCTCTTAACACACGGAGGGTTTGTGGCAATCCTGTGTTGTCAAACGACGGTTGACATTTTTTAGCAAGAGAGTATTTCTAAGTTAAGGTATTTACACTTTTAAAAAAAGACATAATGCTATTGCATATCTAATAGATGACAGCATAGTGTAAACATAACTTACGCACTGGGAACCCAAAATTCGTGTGACTCGTTTTATGGTGATATTCGATTTATCGCGGTGCTCTGGAACTGAGCCTGTGGTATCTCCGAGGTCTGTCTGTAAATAAGTAAAATTGATGGACGTTCCAATATCAGGGAAATATTTTTTTTAATTTCTGATGCTTACGTGTGCCCCAGATGACTAACTGAGGGTTAGCTTTCTGAGTTGTGTCACTGGGAAACCGCATGCTTTGGGGCACTGCCATCAGCCTGAGCTGCAGGTGATGGGGTGGGGAGGGGCAGGGGAGGCACATCCCACCTGCAGGCTCTTTCTCATTTGACTGTGAAGCCACCCTGAGCGGTTTACCACGCGCCTGCGCTAATGCTCTAGCATTTCACTTGCCTCTTACTAAATTAGACGTTTATTGGAGACAGGGACATCTTACTTTTTAGCATCTTTCTTCTACTGCTTAACACACAGAGCACCACGAACAGGACTGGGTCAGTTGGTTTTTAAATTTCAGTGTTTGCATGCTGGCCAGTAGACTGTGCTCTTATGTCAGAAATGCCTGTTGCTCTCACTGGCTCTTTGCATCAAATGTTAAGAGTTTGGAAGGAAGAAGTTGGATTTGGAATATTACAGTCACGTTTCCTTCGATTCATTTTTGGTTTGTTTTGTCCAAAACTCTTCATAAAAAAAAATGAAATTGATTCAGATTGTGTTTTTTAGCCTGTTCAGAAGCTCTGAGGTTAAGATTGGTAGCAGAATTGGGCTCCAAGTCGTAAAAGTGCCGAGCAGATCTGAATTGTTACATGTATATGAAAAGAGGAAGGGTCATTTCTTCGGGGCAGGGCTGAGAGGAATTATAGATAATGCCTCAGGATGTTCAGTGTTGTGGCTTCATGAACCGAGTGCCAGAAAATGAGCAGAAGCTCTGAATCTGCGTTCTGCCCTTCACTGTCTTAGCTTAATAAATTCAACACACACACCCCTGCCTGCCTACCTCCCTCCTTCCCTCTCCCCCTGTCTCAGGGGCCAGAGTGCTCAAAGCACCCGTTTGCCAGTGAGTGGGTGCCAGTTGGAGGGTCAGGTGACCATGCAGCGTCCCGCCGCACTGGCATCTCCCTGGAGAGTGGCGACAGTTCTTGCCTCGTTATTTTGCCTAGTGACCTGCGGTCTCTTCCACGTTGTCTCATGCACATCCTTGCAACCCACCTCTGTCACAGTACGTTAGCAGGAAGCAAGGAGAGCAGTTTTCTCGTCACCGGCGGGCGGGGTCGGGGAGAACCCCAAGATGACTCTGGTTGGCTGGCAGCGCTCACGTGTCCTGGGGGAGTAGCCGTGAGTGCGGCAGGTGTTGTAATGTCTTCTGCGCTGTCCCCTGGAGTGAGACCCTTTTCTCTGTGTCCTTCCGAACCACAGGCCGGCAGGCCCCCCTTCTCCCCCAGCCTGTCACTGAATCTTCCCTCCACCTATGTGTCTTCCAGGACCCTGATTCTCCCTTCACAGAAGGAGGGCTGGGTAGGCACTGGGAGCCCTGATGGATGGAGGAGGAAGGACAGTCTTCCTCAGCAGCAGCGTCAGGCACTTGGAAGTGGTAGAAATCAGATAGAGGCTTGGATGTGTTGGAAGACGGATTTACAGTCTCTGGAGTCAAAGGAGGCTGCCTGGGTCACGTGGCCTGAGGGTGGGGGAGGGCCGGGCATGTTGGTCGGAGTAGGCGATGCTGGAGGGTAGAGCAGTGCCCTCCTGGGCGCCTGAGGAGAGGCTGCCTGAGGCTCCAGCGCTGAGGACTGGCATCAGCGGGGGGACCCTGGCCTCTAGGCCTACCTCTCAGCTTGGTCTCATGAAGACCACCCTTTCCCAAAACAGAAGCGGGTGCCTTCTGTATGCAGTGTTTGTAACATGGTATTACCTCCCTTTTGACGTGTTATTGGCATTTTGCACATGGCCTACCTTTCTAAAGAGTCTGATTTTCTTTGGCCCAAGCTTTTAAAAAAGAAAGAAACTTTCCACTCACCGTGCACCTGAAATGCCCTTCTCCTTACCTGCTCTCTCTGTCCCAATCCAGTGCTGAGGACACAGGATCACTTTCCAGCTTCCATCCAGCAAAGTCTCACTTTATTAAAAGAGTCTTTATTGTTGGGAATGTCCTGGCGGGGTCCCATGGTTAGCACTTGGCGCTTTCACTGCTGGGTCCTGGGTTCGATCCCTGGTCGGGGAACTAGGACCCCACAAGCATCACAGTGCAGCTATTTTAAAAAAAAAAAGAGCCTTTATTGGAAGAAGATTTGATAATTGAGCTGTTGCTCCCCTGGAACTTCTCAGCAGTTGGTCTGTGTGGAGAATTGCGGCAGTAGAGAAAGATGTTATCTTTTGGACCCTACCTTCAGGTGGAGAAGGGCAATCCTATAATCTGTCATCTAAACAAGGGACACTTTTGTTTGCAACACGTGCTGAATCAAATGGGAAGTCAGGACATGGGATGTAGGTGGAGACGGTGGTCACCTTGGGTCAGAGGCACCCAACCGTTAAGATCCATCCTGTGAAAAAAAAACGCTGTGCAAGGCTTTTGAGCGTTTGTTGTTGCTGTCTTAAGATTGGCCAAAAGAAAATCAGACTCTTTCAAAAAGTAGGCCACGTGTAAAACGCCAATAACACATCAAAAGGGGAGTAAAATCATGCTGGAAACACCGCATACAAGAGGGGTACCCACTTCTATTTTGGAAACAGGTTGTCTTCGTGAGACAAAGTGCAGCGTTAGGGGATCAGGGTGACACCGCCACCTGGGAGGTCCCTTGGATGCTGTGCCGGTGGATGGTTTGTCGCTACTCGCTTTCTGATGACCCACCGACATGTCCACACCTCCCACCCTCCAGCCTGCCGCAGAGCGTTTGAGCTGAGGCGCAGACCTAGCCAGATGAATCCCCTCATCCCCTCCTTGCCTGGTTTGATCTGCGTTTGCCTGTGGGCTGAAATCCCAGTTTCCTGTTAAGGTGGAGGTTTCACATCCCTTTGTAACGCAGTGTGCCACGCCCTCTCTGGTTGGTTTGCCTCCCGCTCTGGTCCCACCCTGGCAGCTGCCTGCTTCACAGCCCGCCCCCCCATCCCTACACACAGCACACTCTGCCTTTGCTCCCTCCGCCCCTCTGCACCCCTGGCCTCACCCTCACCTGCCAGGCAGCTGTGCCGGTCATCTCCTCTGCTGGTCCCTCCCAGTTCCCCAGCAGATCACTTCCTGTCTTTCATATGCCCTACAACCCGGAAGTATTATGTGTCCCTCTGTTGTTGTTTTATGATTATAACTATTTCTTTCTCCCAGACTACATTTTTAGCTTCTGACAGCTAGGGTTTATTTTATTTATTTTTTACTCTCCCTGCCTTACACGATACCGGCACATAGTGGATTCTCAAGAAATATTTACGGAAAGAGTGAACGACGACCTCATCTCTTCACCCCTTCCCTCCTTTTCCTGCCCCTTCACTGAAAACTCACCTTCCTCTAAGTGCACCGTGGAACGGGCTGCTTCTTGCCTTTGCGGGTGTTTCCCCCTCTGCCTGGAGTCTGCTTACATCCTTTCTGGCACTGCTCGCCCAGCTCTCCAGGTCCAGTTCATGTGGCAGCACCTCTGCTGGGCTCCCCAGCTCAAGAGGAGAAAGCAACTCTTGTGCCTAGGCTGTCCTGGTTCCACAAGTTTCCCCCTCCCTCCAGCCCCGGTCTCAGCTCGGAGGCTGTAGCTCTTGTTCCTGTTTGTAAGCCCAGAGAGATCCTGGCACAGGGCAGTTGCTTGAGTTGACTTCAATAGTAGAATCTAGTGATAGAACCTAAGCTATGGTGCAGGGTCGCCAGCCTGGAGGAAGGGTCACTTTTTTCTAATTCTCAGAGGTGCCCTTAGCTCATCAGGCATCTCCCTCACCCCCACCCTGCCATCCAGGGCAGGTGCTTTTTGTAATTCTCACAAAGGGTCTGTGTAGACCAGTGGAGGAGGCCCGCCTAGGACTCTGATAAAAGGTGAGCGTGGAGGAGGGATTGAGGGAAGTGAGCACGAAGGCTGGTGTCAGAAAAGCATCTCGGGGAGCCAGCGGGATGGCAGGCAGGAAGGGTCTCCGTTTGATGCTGATGTCTTTGCAGAATCACTGCTTCAAAGCCCACAGAAGGGAACACACTTGCTTGTGGTGGTGGATATAGAAACTTCTACTTGGGGGGCATGAGGCTGAGCTGGGGCTGCCATGGAAGGTCAAGACCCTGCACCAACCACTTAGTCTTAGGGTCAGGATGGAGCCATTGGCACGAGTCATGGGTTGGGGAGCACGTGGCTGTCATTCCTGACAGGAGAGGTAGAGGCAGTGGGCCAGGCTCTTCACGGGCAGTTACAGGTGGGGTCGGTGGGACCACTCTCACTTCCCAGGGAGGCTTTTAGGTACTTTCTGATGTGGCAGGGATGAGTCCTGCTGTTTGGCCACAACGATGTGTGCAGTTTGGGGTCCGTGAGTCATGCTTTCCTAAAATGGGGTATAAGGAAGGAGGGGAGCGAGTCATGATAGCTCCTGTTTATTGAGTGCGTCCTACGTGCCAGGCATGGCCTGACCTATCTACACAGGAGCTCGTTTGATTCTCCCCAAAGCCCTTATGCCGCAGGCCCTATTCTTCTGTCCATTTTGCAGACAAGGAAAACACGGCAAGAAAGAGAAGTTGCAAAGTCTATATTCCGCTAGTAAGGTTTAGAGCTGTGAGCTGACTGAGAGCCTAGGCTGCAAAGTCTATATACGACTAGTAAGGTTTAGAGCTGTGAGCTAAGCTGACTGAGAGCCTAGGCTCTCAAGTTCTTTACAGACTACTTTGAGTCCTTCCAGGTTGGCTGGCCTAGTGCACGGAACGTGCTATGAAGTCATCAGAGTCTGCCTTTATGAAGAGGGAATAATTATCTCCATTTTTAGGTGAGGAAGTTGAGGTTCAGAGAGATTGTCACCAGCCCGGGATGAAACCACCCTGTAGTGAGTGGTGGGACCAGCGGAGTCCAGATTTATCTGACTTCAGAGCTCTTTCCCATGGTGCGTTAATACGCATCTTGAACGGCCAAGGGTCAGCCATTGGATGGGCCGTTGGCCTAGGTGACTGTTAGATTGGATGACTAGGCATTTTTTAAAAAGCAGATTTAAAGAACTAGCCAGTGTGTGGTGTGGCAGCTAATCAAGTGCCTGGAATTGTGAGTGAATATCATCAAGTATTAGATTTCGAATAGATAAGTAAGATCCGTTTTTTTTTAAAACTTAAAATACCTCTTCGCGTTTCAAACTGTATTCTTTTTCAGGTAAGCTTGTATCTTAAGACATCTAACCTTTTGTCACAGGCTGAAGTGGTAACTGAATAGGATCATTTTAGTGCAAGTTTTAGATCTACCCTCCCCCCCTTTCCTCCTTAATTATGATCAGAGTCTTTATTCGAGGTTACAGCGGGTGGAATGCTTTGGAGACCATATAAAGCTGCTCCTTAAAATTGAGCAATGCTGGCGAAGACAGACCAAGTCCAGAATTTGATGCGTTCGTGCAGAAAGTTTCAGGACCCAAATTTCACAGTTGCTTCTTTATTGTGTGGGTTGAACCTCAAGTTAGACCTGTTTGGGTTGCTCTCATTTTTTCTTCTGGCAGCTGGTGATTTAAAATTTAAAACACATACGACTCGGGCATTGGAGGGATGTGGTTAAAAAAAAAAATCCTTCTGTCTTCCAGTAATTGAGACTGATGGGGACTTAATGCCACCTAATGACAGCTCTGTGGCACCAGCTTACTCCAGTCCCCACCGTCTACATTTAAGTCGTTAACATTTTGCCACATTGGCTGCATCTATCTTTTTTTTCCTGAAGTATTCAAAAGGGATCATTCAGACCTCATGACACTTAGCCCCTAAATACTTCAGCCTGTGTCTCTAGGAGAAAAAAACAAAAACCCTGTGCCTTCATAACCATCATGCAGTTTTCACAAAATTAACGATAATTGCCTGCTGGACTCTATTACCTGGTCCATTATCTGAATTCCCCCAACCGGCCCTGAAATGCCTTTTACAAGTGGGCTGCTTAAACCAGAATTCAGTTGAGAATCACATATTGCAGTTAGCTGTGAGGTCTCTTAAGACCCTGTTAATCAAGAACAGTCTTCGCTTCCCTTTTTCAATGACCTTGAGGGGTCAGTAGGTCGTCTCTCTGACCACATTTGATTGTTTCCTGTGGTATCATATAATGTGTTCTTCTTTCTCCTGGGTTTCCTGTACCTTAGGAGTTGGATCTAAAAGGTTGATCAAATTCAGTTGAAACTTGTAAGACAGGAATGGGGGATGCTATTTGATCAGGAGGGACCCAACATCTGGTTGTCCCGTAACTGATGATGCTAAAATTCATCCCTGGGTTAAAGTCTGTTCCCTCCACTGTTAACTTACATTTTCCCCCAGGGGACCAGCAAGAAATGGGCGAGGTGATAGTTTGGCACTAGATACATGTAAATTTTAAAACACTAATTTGCTTTTTCTCCCAAAGGATTAGAAATTGTTTTTTCTTTTGCCCCTTTTGGAAAACAGCGCACAAAAGAACTCTCCTCCTTTTACAGATTGAGAAACGTGGAGGCCATAAGTACCTTGAGGGTCCCCTTGCTAACTGTCAGCACTTCTAGGACACGATGAGGCCAGGGTTTGTGTAGTGTCAGGGTTTGTATAGTGTGGGTTCTAGACTGAACCCACAGGTGTGTCTCTGTGGCCCGTGGAACACTAAAACAAAGAAATAAAAAATTTGAGCCAACGTTTGGGAGACTTCGTATTAAAAAACCAGATTTCTAGGTTTCTGGAGAATCTCGACGACCTAGACATCCTGGCCCGTGTTCCTGTGAGGCCGCGTGGCTGGAGCTGTGTGCTAGTGGCGCCCTTTGGGTAGGGCCGTGCCCTTGGGGCCACCATGGACCCCAGACCTCCTGCTGTGTTGTGTGTGGCTGGTATCCCCCACTGACCTGGCCCTGAGGTCCCTGGAGGGACCGCCTGCGTTGGGTGCTGACCCTGCCCTGGGTGGTCTTCGTTGTGTGTTGTGCTGACCTCCCTGAGGCACACCTGGCCCCTTACGCTCTGCTGACACTGTGTTTGTGACCTGCCAGCTCTGTGCAAAGCTCCCTCTCCCTCTGGAGGCCTGTTGGAGCAGCCTTAGCTATCTAGGGCATTGCTGAGAATCACAACAGCAACACTAATGGCCTCTGGGCATACTTTAAGACAAAAGTATTTGTCTTAAAATCCTTGTACCTAAGAGCTCTTACAGTTAGTCATGCTAGAGCACAGAGCACCCAGCTCTCAGACTGTTTATTCTCATTGTTCTCCCCTGACCCCCAAACCCTGAAATGACGTTAAAAGGTATTAACCCTTTCCTCCCAAATAAAGACCTCTTCTAATTCTGCAGCAGGCACACGGCTTTTTGTATATTTGTGCTTATCTCCTGGTCTTTGAATGGATGAACAGATGCAACCTCCTTTTTATAAAAAAAATAATTTTTAATTTTTTTTTTTTGGCCATGCCACGTGGCATTTGGGATCTTAGTTCCCTGACCAGAGATTGAATCCATGCCTCCTGCAGTGGAAGCGCGGAGTCCTAACCAGTGGACCGCCAGGGGAAGTCCCTGCAACATCCTCTTAAAATATGTTGATCACCGTTTGCACACTGTTCAGGCCACCAGGTTTCCCAGACAGAAACGTGAGGAGTGGCAGATGGGTCAGTGCGCAGGGCAAGCACGTCTCCGTCCTGCCTTAAGCCCCAGGCTTGCTGTCCTAGAGCCAGTGCTGTAAGAATGGATGTTTAGAATGACCTGGACTCCCTGAAGAGGCTATGCTGGAGTATGCACTGATTCAGAATTCAGGGACTATCTGATCAGTTTTAAACTATACCCATATAGACTGGCCTTTGTGTCTTTCCAGTTTTGGTAAATAAGGGCGTGAAGTAGACGGGCCACATTTATGTACCATTCCCTGCTGTTATGTTAATGAGAATCCCTTGTTCAGAATCCCCCCCTTTGCCTCAACTCCTGACACATGAATGTGTTGGCATCTGTCACCTAAAGGGCCTGGGCTCTGCCACCTGCTTTAATACAGAGAGGAGGGAAAATTGCAGGATGTCTTGCCCTTACCTTCATCAGTGATGGACGATGCTCTGGTCCCTGAGTCTCTAGGGCAGGGAATTTGATGCGTTTTAGGAGGATGAGAGCGCCCCGCACGTAGCAGATGCTTGATAAATTTTGTTCATCTGGTCACAGTGGAGCCTGAGAAAATGGAAAAATTAAAAAGCAGCTGAAGAGCCGTGGGCAGTATTTTAATCCACTAACATAATGAATTACAGAGGGCACCAGTGGGGGTTGGAAGTCTGAGGATGCCTCTGGGGAGTGGTGAGGTTGGACCCTCTGCCTGACATCGCTGTGTCCCGGGGCTCCAGCATCCTTCCTCTGCCTCTCGCCCCATCTACCCACCCAACCCCGGCCAGGCTGCCTCCCTCCCCTCCTTCCTTCCTTCCTTCCTGTCTTTCATTCCTCAGCTGCCTGTGTCCCCCCAGCTCACCCCGGTAGCCTTACTCTTGCTTGATCCTAAAGTTTATTCTGTATTTGTCTCCCAGAAGTTCATGGGAAAGGATGTAAGGAGCCTAAAGTATTATAAGGAAGGGAATGTGGCCAACTTGAGATGAGTCAGAAGTGAAAGCGTTTGGGGATGTGTAAGACGATGAAGATAATATTTATTTCGCAGAAATGGAGCCTTCAGGAGCACGGCCAGTAGGTATTGCATGGAGAGAGGTCTGACGTTCGGATGGCGGAGGGTGTATGCTATAGTTTCACCGCTGAAGGAATAAGGGAGACGTTCCTCTGTCTGTTAATGGTTCCCCAGTGTTTTAGGTGAGGGCTGACTCTCCAGCTTATTCTCAGTGGTAAAACCTGGAGGAGGCCTTGAGGGTGGGCTCACTGTGCACCTGCACTGGCAGAAATGGCACGACTGAAGGTGAAAAAGTTGTTATACCTAAAAAGAAATTTGCATTTCAAATTTTCAACATTGCATTTCCATTTGCTTTTCAAAATGCACACTCCACAATCCATTTTGGTTTGCAAGGCGGAAACAGAGACACAGATGTAGAGAACAAATTTGTGGACACCAAGGGGGGAAAGCGGGGGTGGGATGAACTGGGAGATTGGGATTGACACGTATACACTAATATGTATAAAATAGATAACTGATAAGAACCTGCTGTATAGCACAGGGAACTCCACTTCGCTGTACAGTAGAAACTAACACAACATTGTAAAACAACAACTATACCCCAATTTAAAAAAAAAAATCCATTTTAGATGTATCTCTCTGGAACCCCAAAATATTATTTTTCAGATCCAAATCCCGTATGTTGGATTATTGCATCTTCTAAGAAACATTCATAAAATTATTTCTATTTAATGTTTATATTTAGGGCAGGAACCTGGAAAGTGAAGTTTTTCAGACTGCCTTAGAAGTTTAACCAAGCTGGCAGGTTCTCCAGTGGTAAAGACAACCTTTCCTAAGTGCTGCTGCAGGCAGTCTGAATCGGGGCCAGCAAACCTTTTCTGTAAAGGGCCAGAGAGTAAATAGTTGAGGCTTTGCAGGACTTACAGTCTCTCAAGATAGGACTAAAGCAGCCAGGACAGTATCTAAATGAATGGGCTCGGCTATGTACCAGTGGCCTGTGGGCCACAGAGTTTGCCCGCCCCTGAGAGTATAAGCTATTGATTCTCTATAACATATGTATTTAGAACTGGGGGTGTCAGTATTATTCGGTCATGATTTCCAGATGAACTGTTTCGTTGAGCTGTTGGTTGGTCAGTGGCAGACAGGAATTTAGCCAGTATTGACTTTTTGGGCATGAGGGAGTAGGGTTCCTAGATGGCAGCGGTAGCTTTTAATTTTTTTTCCTTTGCTCTCCAAGGGCTGCATGCTTACGATACAGCTTATGAAACGTTTCACATAGGCACTGTGGATTTTAAAGTCTGCAAATGAATACCACTGAAAAATGTTTTTGTCTTAGAGAAAATGATTTCTCGGTGCTTTGTATATAACTACACGAGTAAGAAATAAAGTTGAATTTAATGCATCCCAGCAGATGCAGACACATCGTTTAACTTAGGGTGTGGCCATTAAAATGTTGCCTCTTGTCTCTACCGAATATTTCTTAAACTTATGACCTTACTGCCAGTAATGTTTAATAAGGAATCTACAATGTGTAACTCCTCAGTAAATTATTAAAAGGACTGGCATTCCTACTGTATAATATCAACACAAGTGATGCAAAGTGTGCCTTGCCCCAGTGGGTATGTGCTAACATTCCTTCTGGCTTGCGCAGAGGGATGGGGAATAAATAAACTGCAAGGTTTGTTTCCAGGTCTGTCTTTGGTTATTACAGGTACGTTGTTGTGCTTCCCCTTTTGAAGAACTGATTATTGTTTCAAAGTCTCTGCTATTTTTAGATGCTCGAAATTAGGCATTCAAGATTGGAAGGTAGAGAAGCAGTTGAAAGAAATACTGTGTTTCAAGTTTGAGGGCAACTGGTTGTGAAATCAAAATGGATGAATCATAACTTTATCACAGTTTCTTTTTCTTTTTGCTAGTGAGAAAATGATAGTGTTGGTTATATAGCCGCTCTCTCGCACTCTCACTTGTGAACCCTTGGGAGTTCATTGCACACAGTGGCTTTAATTTTGTTGAAGTGATTTTCAATGTTATCTGCAGTTTGGACAGCAGAAGAAAACATGCAAATTCCTTTCTTCCAAAATGGATTACTGGCTCCCTGCAGTGTGATTTCATTTCCTCTCTGTTATTAAGTATGTAGTCGAACCATCATGTGCTAGTAATGAGATTTGCGTGACTATATACCTCAGTCAGGCTCTTTTGTCTGCAAAAACAACAACAAAACCAGTCTCTTGGCCTGAAATGTCAAAATATTTGGTCTTTCTCTGGGTTAATCTTTCCCAGCTGGTGACTCCACCGTCTGTCTGGGCATCCAGGTTAGGGACCCGGGAGTTGTCCTCGGCTGTCTCATCCCTCCAGCTCTGCCTGGTCTCCGTGTTTGTGCCGAGGGCTTCCTGAGCGGGGGTCACACCTTCACGTCTGTCCTCTGCATACAGAGAATGCTCCCTCTCAAACAGACCGTATTCCGCTCCTGGCCGACCCTCCAGCGGCCACTCGTGGATCAAGGTCCTGGCTCCTTAGCCCCGACTCCACCGCCCTCCTGGGCAGCCGTTAACCTCGGCCTCCCCCAGCAGCCGTGCTCAGTCCGTGCCTCCCAGTGAGATCTCCCGCAGGCAGCTTTCCCTGTCTCTGCGCCCGCCTCGCCCAGGTGTGCAGCCTCAGCTTCGTTTGCACATCACTGTGCTCAGTGGTCACACTGCACAGTGTTGGGACTTTGCTAGACCGTCATCTCCGCACCCCGCTGTGGTCCCACACTCCCAACCCTTTTAACGCACCTGGCAAGCTATGGTGCGTGCACATGCCTCACGGCCTAGTTGGTTTTCAGGGCCCTCCCTGCCACTAGGCTGAACTTCTTTTTCCTGCTTTTGTACCCTCCCAGTGATTTGTAAATGCCCCTATTTTCCTTACCCTCTCATCTCATAATTTTTAATTTTATTTTTCTGTATGTATTGTTAAGCCCCTCATTCTTTGCAATACTCAGGTTATACATTTTAATAATATAAAAAGTCTCTACCAGCACATACCACATTACTTTTAGCTCCTTCCTACTTTGAAGTTACCACAGTTGCCTTTAACTTTAAGGAGTGTCTCACCCTTAACCCCTCTGTCCATGTAAAGTTCGCTGGAGGAGAGGAATTGTGAAGCATCCCTAACCATCAAGGCTTCTGAAGGGCTCTTTCTTGTGTTAAGGGTCCACTCGGGTGTATGGGGGATTATAGCTCCCTCTGGTGGCCAGATCATCAGGTGCATTTTTTTCTGGATTTTTAAAATGGTATTCAAATCTAATAATTCTTTGGAGTTCTTTTTTAATTTTAAAAATAATTCAGATCTTGTTTGTTTTGGCAGGTATTTAAATCATTCTCAAGTAGTGACACTTACACAGAGGAATGAATAATTTTACTTTAAGCATCCCATACTTTTTACACGGTTGGGTTTTAAAGTAGACAGTGCATAGCGTTTAAACTTTATTTCCCCCCGTTTTCCTTCCCTTCCCCTGCCAAATAAGTTCCTAAACTTGTAGAATCATCAAAATAAAATGCCACGAACTACAAAGGAATAATTTACTAATACGGGGAAGAAATGAAATTCTTCCAATGAGGGTCCAGAATGGGCCCAAAGACAAAATGAATTTAATGCATTTTTAGTTTCACGTCTTAATGGATCAGAGCTTCAAAACACATTTCGTTTTCTTTATGAAAGGAACTTCCAGGCTGACATTCTTAATATAGAAAACTATTATAAAGAGT